CGCATTATAAATAATCGATACATTTTAATATTTAGAGTGTAATTGCAAAAACAATGCGTGCGTCAAACTGAACGTTTGCTGCCGCAGAAAGGCAGATGGTTTTCTTTATATATTAAATCGTGAGGCCATGTAGTGTAATTTGATAGTACTTGTCAATTTAGCATAATTTTGCGCACTGTTCTTTCCAGATCCGTCAGCCTTTAATAATTTTATTTGTCATTTACTTATACAACAATTCAAAAAAATCCTACCTGTTTACAAAACTTTTGTGTTACACACTTAATAGGTGTCTTCTTACTAATTCAATAACTGTTACACAATAAAGATTTTTGCTGTCACTGTGACTAGCTGAGTTAGCATTTTAATAATAGCACATAATAGTTTCGTGAGAAAATTTATTTATCTTATAATTATACCATAAACTTCTGATTATGATTATGGGCTAGTATATCGAATGGCGTGAACGTTAGTAATGTGACGGGGTCATAGACGTCGGGCTTATATTCGGGGACTTATACTCGGAAGTTTATGGTATAAGATAAATAAATTCTCTCACGAAACTATTCTCTTGGTTTAAAAATTAAAAGGATGTACTATTATTAAAATGCTAATTCTAGCAAGTGCAATTGACAGCAAAAATCTTTATTGTGTAACAGTTATTGAATTAATAAGGAGACACCTATTCAGTATGTAACACAAAAGTTTGTAAACAGTAGGATTTTTTGTAAACCGTTGTACTAAGTAAATGACAAATAAAATTATAAAAGGCTCACGGATCCGGAAAGAAAAGTGCTCAAAATTATGCTAAATTGACAAGTACTATCAAATTACACCACAACGATTTAATATATAAAGAAAACCATCTATCTGCCTTTCTGTCGCAGCAAAAGTTCACGTTGACGCAATGACGCACGCATTGCTTTTGCCAAGTACACTCTAAATATTAAAATGTATCGATTATTTATAATTCGATTATTAGGAATTTTTAAAATATAATCTAATAAATAAAATACAGCTGTGACTGTTGTCTCAATCGCTCAGCAACTTCAAACAGAGCATCTCTTGCGGAAATTATTGCCTCTGGGTTCATTCTACGAGATTTTGCGTTTTTTGCGTCTCTAGCAATTCAATCTGCACAATAAAAGTCAATTAATTTAAGACAAACAAGCGAATATACGCGAATATTATGGTGAATATACGGCCTCCAATACAGCGACAAGATGCGGCGAATCCGACCCTCGGCTTGCGTCATGTGATATGTTCTAGAGGTCTGGACACGAATGAATTTGGCCGGGGGGTTGTCTTGTGTTAGCTTAATTAATATTGGCGGAGATTTGACGCTATCGTTCAACTCCGCCAATATTCAACATGTGGTAATTTTTTTCAACATATTTTGAACGTTGAAGTTGTGATGGGTGCTAAATTCGCGGCATGTTCGATGTCCGGTTTAACTTCAATGTCAAAAACACATGGGTGTTCAATGTCAGATTTAACTTCAATGTCGAAAGCACGTAGGTGTTGAATGTCCTATTTAACTTCAATGTCGAAAATATGTTGAATGTTCCGCATGTTCAATGCCAGATTTATCTTCAATGTCGAAAGCACGTAGGTGCTGAATGTCCTATTTTACTTCAATGTCGAAAGCATGATATACATGAATATTGGCGGTGATATGACGCCATATATTCACACGTTCACTACAGACCAAGCCAAACGTATTTTAACCGTTTTGAGGTTCTTGCGTGACGTATACGAAGTACATTATTAATCAAGGATCGAATATATCCCTACGCCCGAATATATTGACTTTTCAGTTTTCATATGTCATCCTATAAACATGTCACATCGTTGATATAAATCTAGTTCGTGATCGCTGCTTCGACTAGTTCGTCACCGAAATACATCAAAGACAAAGTCTGCCGTACTTAGTTTCAGAAGAAGTTTATAAAAGAAGCAAAGATCGATAATTGTCATGGTAATTTTATGTCGTAATTAAAATATAAAAATGCAAAGTTGTCTAGGTCCGGTTATAAGCAAGCTCTTGCCAACGAAACGTAAGAGTAGATCAAAGGTGAGGGGGAAGAGATCTGCAGTAACAATTATGGTAAAAATTGTCGTATTAGGAGCCTGTGGTGTGGGGAAAACGAATATTATTCGTCGATATGTTCACAACGAGTTTCTTGCAGACCACCAGCCGACTACAGAGGACGTCTATGAGAAATACTTTAGCTTTAAGCGAAAGAATGAATCTATATTATTTAACATTTACGACACGGCTGGATCAGATCAATTTCCAGCCATGAAAAGACTGGCTATTAGCAACGGACAGGCGTTTGTGGTTTTATACGCAATTGACAATAGGGCTTCGTTTGAAGAGGCGAAGAAAATTTGTGCTGAAGTATTTGAACTGAAGTCTGGAGAGGTAAAATCAATAATGATGGTCGGAAATAAATGTGACCTACCAAGTTCACAACAGACAGTAAGCACAGAAGAAGCATCTTTAACGGCAAAACAGTTAAAATGTAAATTTACAGAAAGTTCTGCGAAACTTGGTATAAATGTTGAGAAAATATTTCGTGAGTCGCTGGCCGAATTTTGACATGATTATTTGGCTCACTGGTTATTGGCATATTAAGTATGTGACACTTGAAGTCATGTGCTCATGCGATATCTAAATATCATATGACGAAAAATCACCGGCCAAGTCAAACAAAGAACTTGACCTGTGTGGACATGTCGTCCCAGAAAACGGAATAAACAAAGTGAAAATACATAAATAATAATATGTGAACTAACTATATTTCCCTATCATGAATGTTGATAAACCAAATGAAAAATAATTAATTATGAATGGTTATAATATCAATATTCCTGCTGCGATAATGACAATATTGATCAAAGTGCATGAACTGGATTTTTTGTACATGCTGTGCTTTGATGCTTTCTCTTACAACTAACCACATAATGTTTTGAATATATCCAGGTGGGTTTCACTAAGCACTACTGTGAAAGCCGATGATGGTCAACCCGCCGCAATTACCGAGTGATAAATAATGTCAATTATTTTCATTCAGTATGGCCTTTCTTTTGTGGCACTGGCAAATGAACTGAAATATAGCCGAAATATTTTGTGTAATTTATTTCCGCATATCAGAATAAGGGTGAACACTTTACTGTTGACCACCTATATATAAGTCAATAGAGTCAGAGAACTAACTAAGAAACTTCAGTTAATTTTGTTTCAATGAATGTATAGTAAATGAAGTAAATGAATAATATTAATTGCGATATTGTTGGCAATAATAAACGAAATTCAAAAAATTGAAACCTATGTGTTTTGTGTCAGTCTACGATTGTCCATATAGGTATAGTAAGTTTTTTTTGATCGATATCCGTCTAAAATTTATATTATTTTTGAACGTGACATGTTTTATTTACTTGTTCACACTTGTTGAAAAGCTGTCATGCCAACTTGAGTTGAATAGAGAGTAGCCATTTCAAACGTGGGGGGTCCAGTGTAGGTACAAGATGTCGTGGTTTAATTGTTTGAACTGAATTTGAAATAATAAAAAAATGCTTTAACGTTTTGTTACGGGAACCACTGAGTATTTTAATGAAATACAAAACAACGGCCTACGAAAATGAACATTTTAATATTGTTTAGATTTCGACTAAGTTTTAGTCACGTGCACTCATGAATTATTGCTTTTAAATTTTATATCCATTCGGCATTCGTGACATTTTAAATCTGAATTTACAATTCACGGAGTTAAACTGAGCATCAAAGACAAACTACCTCATAACTTATACACATAATATTATAATGTCTTATATAGACTTATATCGACTGATTAAATATTTTAAGCGACCACCATCAAAATTACAACTCGGCTATCTTCAAAATAGCTACAGCGAAACTGCTGTGAACTTTTAAGAAGACCTTAAGAAATGCTGATTCGAACCGTGGTATATTTTAGTGTAAATAGCATATGCATATATACTGCAAGATATGACGCCGCAAAACTCTTGTATTGGGAGATTATATTTGAAGACATAGGCCTACAAATTTTCATGTCTTCTGCAATGATAACACATTCAAGAAATGTAAGTTTGCTTCCATTCTGTACATATCAATCTCGTTCCCCGAACCCGCGATCCCTTGGGAATCATAGTAATAGAAAAGTGAGAAAAAAAGCCCAACCTTCACTACCTAATTTATTGTGGATAAGGAATATATTATTATTATCATTATTAGCTATTATATTTACATTTAGCCAGGATAACCACATCACCGTAGTGCTTTCAGTGGGGTCCTGCATTGAATCAGTGGATAAAGAATAAGAGAAAGTTGAAGAAAACTAGAGTAAGAAAGATTTGAAGACAGAGGATATAGAGAGGTCTTCACATATGTACAGTGCGTCTTTTTAATAATGCCTTAAAGTTAATTACGGATAGGGATTAGAGATTCAGCATTTTAAAGTTCTGGTTGAAGGTTATTATTAACGTCTACGGAAGCTTGGTAAACAGGTCGATGTGTTTCCCTTTGTTTGTCTTTGTTCTTGCTAGGTGTAGATCGCCGCTTGTGTAGTGGTTATGAATGCTTTCGTTCTTCGTTAAGTCACGTTTTTTATTAATCTTCACAATCAAGTTGTCTATAGGCCTCTATATGCTCTTACCAAGATAAATGTTGACTAAGAGTTATTCCAAGATATTTAATTGATGTTGCCTGACTGCCTGTAGTAGTGTATAGTACTCGGTTACATTATGAAGCGACGTTGACTGTTTTCTGCAAATAAAGATCATATAAACTTCGTTTTCTCGCAGTTCAAAGTAAGGAGGTTGTTGTTCAGCCAGTTGGATAAAGACTGTAAGTCGTCGTTAATTTCAATTCAGCTTGAAGTTCCGCTGCTGTTCTCGCGCGTAGAATTGAATACAGTAAAGTATCATCAGCATACAAAATTAATTTACAGTGATTCAGACAGTTAGGCAAGTCATTAAAGTAGAGGTCCGAGAATACTTCCTTGCGGCACACCTACGGTCACTGGTTTCGGAGTTGATGTGGAGTTGTTGATGCATGGTGTAACTGATGTTCGTCACGACGAATATGATGTAAACCACTTCAGGACAGAAGTTGAAAATCCGAGATTTCTTAATTTCGTAAGGTGTGATATACTGTGTCGAAAGCCTTTTGTAAGTCTATAAAAACCGCACCGGTAATCAATTTGATGTCCAGATTAACAAAGATTTCCTCAGTAAGTCGTGTTCAAAGGCAACGCGTTCGTAGATAAATTCGGGCGAAATTAAAACCAAATTGTTCTGAAGTGATTGGATTGTGGTTTTGTAGGTACTCGTAGTTTTGTGTGTGAACTATGCGCTCCATTTTTCTTAGGATTGGTAAAATAGTTATCGGTCTGTAGTTGTTTGGTGATGTTGGGTCGTTGGATTCGAAGATGGGAATTATTTTGCCTTTTTTTCAGCGGGAAAAGTTTGTGAAAGAAGTGAAGTGATTAAAAATTTAGGCCATTAGATATATTTACCTTAGGTGGTTTTTGGCCTAAATACTTTCTTTGCCTTTTTAGGTTTATATCTCACAAAATTCAACGCCACCCTAAACTTTACTGGAGAAAATGTCTACCCCTCCACACTGATAAGTTAATTACGCTCATGCAGTATATCTATTTTTATTTTGGTTTGCGATCTACTACAATCCTGGAAAAAAATTAGTAGACTTCTTAAATTTTCAAACTTTGTCCTCCTCCCCCCTTATACAATGTTGGTATTTAGGTGACATGTGTTGCAAATCCACTTTACCTGGACCAACATTGTTTGTGGGGGGAGGGGGGGAGGGGAATTTAAGGTAAATAGTTGTTTTAATTGAAAAATGCTCACATTTTCATCATATGTTTTCAAATTTGGGTGTATATTTCGAAAAGTCTACACATATTTTTTCCAAGATTGTAGATCTCGAAAATCTGAAAGTGATCGAACAACCTCGTACCGATGGGCATGGCTTCTGTTATCTGAGAGCCACAAACGCAGAAGCCCTGGCTACGTGGTCGGAAAGTGAAAACAAATTGAAAATCTTGCATGCCTCGTCCCACATGCGCTATATGCCGCTGCACCAATAATTTGCATTGGTGCTGCGTGTCCTTTGCGTGGGAACGCGCGCGTGTGGACGAAACAAACCAAAGCGCCGGCCTGACGTTATAAATTTTAATGCATGACAACGAGGTCACTGAAATAAAGTAGTATATTACTGTAGCCGTACGTTTTCCTACTTTACACCAATATTTGGCTATTATCCATTATATACATCAACAATAGACATTACTGACTATTCTCTTTTACCCAATGGCCTAGTTTTCATGTCAAATACTTACTCATATATGTTGTGCTTAGTATACGTAGGGTTGAAAATTACTTTGTCGTCCAGGAAAACATGGGAATATAATCTTTATCTGCCGCTGACATGCTAAAATAAGTTAACATGGATACGATGCCATTGGGTAAAAGAGAATTATAATATGTTTCGATATTATAATTTGAAGAATTTACCAGAAACATTCGTAAATTATTTCATATCCAATAATGAAATTCATGACCATGGGCATGGCACAAGGAATGCAACTAAAGGCTGCATTCCAGTTACGCGTTTTTCATACGTGCGTCAACGCACGTAAAGGTCGAATTCGCTTTACATCCTACTTATGAAATAACTAAATTTATAAAAGGACAGCATTCAGTTTTGTGTTAAGGGACCGGTCATTATTTATGGTGGGGGGTGGCACCGAAGAGAAAAGGGTTGGGTAAACTAAATTTTGAGTAAGTAAAAGGTTGGGTAAATGAAAAACAAAACAACTCAAGGGTTGGGAAATAAAAAATTATTGTCATTTCCAAAGCATGACTCACTGAAGTATTGGGGACTAAAAAGCAATTGATGGCAACAGTAGGCCCTACTCTGGGGCGATAACGAGATAATGCGAGTTTAAGCAATTTTAGGTGATTTAAGCAAAATATGCAATTTAAGCAATGCGAGTTTGAGCGATATAGGGCAATGACATCAAATATTATTTATTTATTTGCAAATCAAAACATTTTAAAATTCTCGTATTTTGTTTTGTATTGCGCCCGCGATATATTAATGGTATTAACCGCTGCGAATATGATATACATTTTTAATACATTACATTTGCGCTCAAAAGTTCAGGAAGTGAGTTTCTAGGAAGGATGAAAAACTCCGTTTTATATATGGTATGTAAAAGGTAATCATTGTTTACTGTTTATTTTGTATTCAGGTATGGGGAATTTAAGCGATGAGAGTTTCAAAACTTGCAAATGTAGTCTGACTAGTTTCTTTGACGTCCTCATGCAACTATTTAATATTGTGCTACATTCATTATTCAATTTACAGTATTCGCAGCAATTGAATTAGCCTTCTATAACCATACAAATGATTATAGCTTATAGCCCACCTTGCCTTTAACATTGATCCTATATATAATGAATTAACATAACTAACTTGATTATGTTGCTAGTCGAGTATGGGACCTATGGGTCTTTTAGATCCTAGAGTAGCACAATTAATATAAAGTCTCCGTAAGGCGGTAATATTAAAGACTGTTCTTATTTATGCATGACCTTTGACTATTAAGTAGCCAAAAATTGTGCCTACAGTAATCAACTTATTCCACTATCCAGGTTGCATCACTTTTGATTGCAAAACACCCGGGTTTATTATACATGGATTTGCTAGCAAAATAGCAGCAATTGATGAACTTGGTGTTATACTAAGATTTACTAAATGTGTAAAGAAACAACGAAAAGTATATATCAATCAGAGTCACTATCTTGATCAATCTCCGATGGGATCTCCAAAGAAAGTAGCTACATGTGCAGACAACATGAAACTTCAGACTGCAGAAAATTTCACAATCCGTTATCAAACTTATGTCACAGAAGTGGTAAAGGACATATTTGACAACTGAATGGTACCTTTTGTAAATTTTTTGGCCAGGGGTGGGTATTTATTTTTTAATTGATATTTGAGGTTGGGTAATAATTTTTTTTTACTTTTTAATGGTTGGGTCAGCAAAATTTTTGCTACGAAAAACATTTCTCTTCGGTGCCACCCCCCGCCATAAATAATGACCGGTCCCTTATGGTGTACCACAGGGCAGTAACTTAGGGCCATTATTTTCCTCCTTTATATTAATGACCTTCCTAATTGTCTCAGTGCTGCATCGCCGAGAATGTTCGCCGACGATACGAATATTAGTTATGCGGCTAATACATTGTCCGAACTTGAAAA